CCAGCTGTCCCTGCTGAGCTCATGCTCGAGGATGAGGTGGAACGGGCTGACGGCTTCTCCGTCGTCGTTTTTTGCGCGGAGGATCTCGGCCGTCGATTGGAGATCGAAGAGCTGGATTCGGAGGTTGGGAGTGGGCCCATAAGATAGGAAAGAGAAGGTTTTCGTTGCGGGGTTGAAGTGGAGCTTAGTGTTGAGAATGGGGTGGGAGGCTTGGAGGGCGCGGAGGGCATTTTGGAGAATTTCAATGTCTGGTTGCTTGGAGACGAGGAGGGCTAAAACGGTAATTCCAGTGCCGCCGGGGACGGCCCTGCACCAGCTGTACTCGGTCCCACCTACGGCTCGGAAGAGGTTGTTGTCGCCGTCGTCTGACATGGCGGGGAGACTGACTGGGTAGAGAGAGAGAGAGAGGAGAGAGAGAGTTTAAGGAGGAGGAGGAGGAGGAAAAGGTCTTTTTATGTGTCTATATAGGAATTATCAAGTGATAGAATGGCCCACAAAAAAGAGTATCTTATGGGTCTCTCTTTAGAATGGCCCACAAAAAAGAGTTTCTTATGGGTCTGCATTTCTTCTCCTTGCATTGGCAATGCAGTCTTTGTTTTGGAAAAGGACAGTAAATGAAAAGGAGGAAAAACTGTGTAATTGGGATGTATAGATGTATGGGTGTGTATTGGGATATATAGATGTATGTGTATAATATATATATATAATCATGTGTACAATGGAAGATGACGCCGTTGAAGGTGGTACAGGTGACCTCTCGATATTTGTTTTCCTTATGAGGAGGGTGGTTTGGGGTTAGGAATTTGATGATGTATAATTTATCCCTTCTTAAAAAGCTTGTTTGGAATTTGATTCATGAAGAAGGGGATGGTTATGCTTTTTTCGTAAGTAGAGATTTTCGGAAACCGATTGTTTGTCTTCTATTTAGCCGGGTTTAAATAGTTTGGTTGGTTCCTTATTCCTGATTCTCGGTGGCTCATTGGTCGCATATCTATGCTTTCTTTTTAGTTTGATAATTGGTGTGATGTTGTGTTAGCTGAAGTTATTGGGATTCCGGCACATCTCAAATCTTCTTTTAAGGCTTTGGTCAGTGATTTTGTAGTGGATGGTAAATGGAATATACCAGATTTCTTTAAAGTTGCTTATCCAGATTGTTGGAGTTTGATTGATAAGGTTGTTATTCCCTTGGAATTAGAGAATAATCTGATTTGGTGTCATTCTAAGTCTGAGTTGTTCTGCTAAGGATATATATATATATGAAAGGTCGTTCACTTCGTTGATTTGAGTTTGTAATTCGAGTTAATATGTGATTTTATGTGAAAGCTTTTTACTGTAGTAAAAAAAAGTTTGATATGACTGTTTTTTAAAACTTTTTACTGTAGTAAAATTCAAATTCTAAACTCAAATCGGTGAAGTGAACGGGACCGAAATTTCTCGTGCTAGCGGCACTCCTACTAGTTGGGGTTGTCAAATCTGGACACCTTTTATTCCTCCTCGTTTCTCTTTTTTATTTGGAATGTCCCTACTCGCTTGGTCTTTATAATTGGATTATGTTGATCTTTCACAGTAAAGTTTCTTGTAATGGTAGCATTGGTGATTTTTGGCATTTGTATTAAGAGTTAATTTCCGTCCTTTAGTCAATAAATTTTAGCTTCTTGCTTTTATGGTTGGTTGTTGGTTTATTTAGGATATGAGGAACAAGGTGCTTTTTGAAGGGGCTAGTGTGAGTCCAAGTGCCGCTTGTGCGTTTATTCTTAGATATATGAGGTTGTCCAAGAGTTTTAAGCTCGGTTATTTTTAGGTTCGTTTAGTTCTCTGATTTGAATTTTTAATTTGAGTTGAGATGTGACTTTATGTGAGAGTTTTTTATCGTAGCAAAAAGTTAGATATTACTGTTTCTGATAGCTTTTTACTATAGTAAAACTCGAATCGGTAAAATGAACGGGGCCCTTATAATTCCGATTCTGAAATTTATATTCTTAATAAGTTATATGTTCGCCAAAATTTTCCTATTTGTCCAAAGATTCTCTTTGTTGATTGGATTCTTCATTCTTTCAAGTGGGTAAAGGTCAACACTAATAGTTCAGTTAAAAGAGCTCATGTTTGATTGTTTGTGGAGGTATCCTTAGGAATGTAAAGGGTTTGTTTGCGGTTGTTTTAGTGTCTTCCTTGGGAATGGTTGTCTTTGAAGCTGAATTGTGGGTTGTGATCAATGCAATTTCTATTGCCTTAGAGAATGGTTGTCTTAAATTGTGGTTTGAAAGTGATTCCTCCTTGATTATTTGTCTTTTGAGTTCCTTTGCAAGTTCCTTAGTGGTTGCGTAATGAGCAGAGCAATGCTCTTTCTTTATCCATGATAATGGATTTTTATTTTTCTTATGTGAATCGTGAATTTAATTGATATGCCGATAAACTTGCTAATCTTAGAATTATTAATTATGATATGATATGGTGATATCGTTGTCCTAATTCTCTAGAGTACTATGTGTATAGTGATTACATAAGTTTATCATTTTACAAATTTTAGGGTCCGTTTAGTTCGCTGATTCGAGTTTTTAATTTGAGTTGAGATGTGATTTTATGTGAGAGCTTTTTACTGTAACAAAAAAGTTAGATGTGATTGTTTGTGAGAGCTTTTTACTATAGCAAAACTTGAATTCTAAACTCGAATCAGCGAAATGAACGGGGCCTTACTTTATTTTGAGATGGTTGTAACTTTGTTACTCTTTTTTGTTATTTAATAATATGAGTTTTATTTGAGGCGGTATTTTTCAAATAAAAAAAAGAACTTAAAAAAATAAAAAATTTACTATTATAAGTGTATGAATTTAAATTTTTACTAACTATTTTTAATAAATTTTTTTTTATTAATATAATTATTTAATTAAAAAAAATTATAAATTAAAAACAAAACATAAAAAATTTTAATTCATATATTTTTAAAAAGTATTTATTAAGATTATTACATGGACCAACCAGAATTCGTAATGACCAACGTGAATGCATAGAGCTCAAAATAGAAGGGTAATAAAGTAAAATTAAAACATCCCGAATCTGATCGCCATCGTGACCGTCCAATCTTCGAAAGCTAAACCTCATCCGTCCGATAAATATCGAGAGAGCGGCTTCCGAAAATTCAAATCCCACGACCCATCCCGCTCTCTCCCAAATTTCAGACCGTGAAGAGAAAGGGAGAGAGAAACACAGAGCCATAAAATTTTCGCATCTGAGAGAGAGAGAGAGAGAAAGTGAAGGAGAGAGAAAGTAGTCGAAGCACTCCTCAGACCAGATCTGGTGCTGTCGATACCAGTTTCAGGTTCGATTCGGGTTCTCTCTCTCGCAGAAAGTACAAAATGTCTGGTCGCCATGAGAAGGAGAAGGGCGTCAATGTCCAAGTTCTTCTTCGTTGCAGGTAAAAACGCCATCTCTGTTCTTTTTAGGGTTACGGTTTTTCACAAACTTCCCAATCGATCGTTTTCATGTGGATTTCTCGACGCCTCTTTAGAAATGCTCAGTAGTTTTATTTTTTTGAAATGAATCAGGCCATTTAGCGACGACGAGTTGCGGAGTAATGCGCCGCAGGTTCTTACTTGCAATGAGTACCAGAAAGAAGTTGCCGTGTCGCAGAACATTGCCGGGAAGCACATAGATAGGATTTTCACCTTCGATAAGGTTTTTCTTTTGATTCTAATGCCATTTTGTCTGATGTGATTTTCGGTCCTTGAACATCACTATTTCTCTTTTTAATTATTTCTGCTTATTCATTTTGTTCTTTTGGATGTCTGCTAGTAAATAGGTTAAGTTTCTGCCATTTGGTTGCGTGAAAATTGAAACTTTGTTAGTTCAAATTTGTAGCTTTGGCATGGAAACTATGAAAATTAATTGCATGGACACGAATTTATTTGCGTTTGCATTTAAAAATGCTTTTCTTGTGTTGTATATATGTATGTAGGTTGTTTTTTATGCTAATTAACTTGCGTATTCAATTAAGTGCAAGTTTAAGATACAGCGTGATGGTAACTTAAATATATATATATATATATATTTTTTTTTTTTTTCTGGAATTGGTGGAAGATGATGAATTTTGTTAATAACATTTTCAGGTGTTCGGTCCTTCTGCTCAGCAGAGGGATCTTTACGAGCAAGCGGTGATTCCAATTGTGAATGAAGTTTTGGAAGGCTTCAATTGTACAATCTTCGCCTACGGTCAAACCGGCACAGGGAAGACTTATACTATGGAGGGTGAATGCAAAAGATCGAAGGTGTTTCCTTGGTTTATTGTATACTTAATTAGGATGGGTAATATGATATTCTTCAATTGAGATCTGACAGTTTTTTGTGTAATGGATGTGACAGAGTGGGCCCAATAGAGAACTGCCTCCTGAGGCTGGAGTTATTCCTAGGGCTGTTAAGCAGATATTTGATACCCTCGAGAGCCAGAATGCAGAGTACAGTGTAAAAGTAACTTTTTTAGAGCTTTACAATGAGGAGATCACTGATTTGCTTGCCCCCGAAGAAATTTCGCGAGTTGCTTCAGAGGAGAAGCAAAAAAAGCAGTTGCCTTTGATGGAGGATGGGAAAGGTGGAGTCCTTGTAAGAGGCTTGGAGGAGGAAATTGTTACAAGTGCAAGTGAGATTTTTACCCTACTAGAAAGAGGGTCGGCAAAACGACGCACTGCAGAAACTTTGTTAAATAAGCAATCCAGGTAATTGTTCTCTTCCATAATTCATTTTTGGTGTAAATATAATCTTTTTGTCTAAATGTTGTTTTTTCCCCTCACAGTCGGTCACACTCTCTCTTTTCTATTACAATTCACATTAAGGAAGCAACACCGGAAGGCGAAGAATTAATCAAATGTGGAAAACTGAATCTTGTTGACTTGGCTGGTTCAGAAAATATATCACGCTCAGGTGCTCGGGAGGTACAACATACATTAACACAAACACACAAAACTAGTTGAATTTATTTGTATTTTGACATGTCTTAAAAGTTCTCATCTTGTAACTATATAATCTTAATGTATTTGACAGGGTCGTGCTAGAGAAGCTGGAGAAATTAACAAAAGTTTACTGACTTTAGGACGAGTAATAAATGCTCTGGTAGAGCATCTTGGGCATATCCCCTACAGGTTTGGATTGCGGTTTGGAGGTTCAGTTTTTCCTGCATTCTTTCTTGAAGATTCTCATTTTGAATCTCATTTAAATCTCAGGGATAGCAAGCTCACAAGGTTACTTCGTGACTCACTTGGAGGGAGAACCAAGACATGCATCATAGCCACAGTTTCACCAGCAGTGCATTGTCTTGAGGAAACCTTGAGTACACTGGATTATGCACACAGGGCAAAGAATATCAAGAATAAGCCCGAGGTTTGTTATCTTGTGGATGCTATATGTTTAAAGTTAGTGCTTCTGGCTACTAATTTTAATATTCAATTTCATTCTACTTTTCTAATATGCAATGTAAGCCTTTACTAATAACTGGCTCCAAAAGTTGAGTTTAAAACATTGGGTGAATGATTGGCACAGGGAGTTGTCACGGAAATAGTTATCTTATTAATTCAGAAATTAGCGTTCTTTGAAAGTTCGAGGCAATATTTATCTTATTTCAGAAACAAGCTTTTTCTGAAAGTTTGAATATGATGCCTTTGGTTAGCTTTCTTTTTTTTTTTTTTTTTTAAATTTATTTATTACTATGTTTTGTGTACTAAATTCGGATAGAAGCTGAAATCATTTATTATGTTGTGCTTGATTTAATTGATGGATTTACAATTTATATATAGATTCATCATTTGCTTTCATTATTTGTAGGTGAATCAAAAAATGATGAAATCAACGCTTATCAAGGATCTTTATGGTGAAATTGATCGGCTTAAGGCAGGTAAGAGACTTTGCATTTACCCTGTCAGGTGAAACCTTTGATATGCAACCTGTGGTGGCTGACCGCTTTTCCATGTTGTGATTTGTTCAGAGGTATATGCTGCACGTGAAAAAGTTGGTGTCTATATCCCAAAGGAACGATATTATCAGGAGGAGAGTGAAAGGAAGGTGTGTTTTTTTTTTTTTTTCCTTTCTTTCCCTTGATTCTTTTGCTTCTATCTTTATTTCCACCTCTTTCCTTCTATAAGGTATTGTTTTACCTTTTCTTTTACATGGCCATATTTTCTGCCTTTTGAGAACGCAGAAGGTGGTTACTTAATTTTCTTTCAAATTCATATTAAAGTTGAAGCACCCTGAGCCCTTCAGTTGATACTAATTTCCATTTATGTGATACGCAGACCATGGCTGATCAGATTGAGCAAATGGGGGTTACAATAGAAACCAACCAAAAGGTTTGTTTGTTTATGGTGTTCAGATATATGCTACTCATGGCTGGCTAGTTTTCATGTGTGATATATTTAAGTTCAGCTGTTAGTTACTTACAAATCACGTTACAAGCAGCAACTTGAGGAATTGCAAGAAAAGTACAATGCCCAGGTTCAACAATGCAGTGATTTGAGTTACAAACTTGACGCCACTGAGGTGAGCTGATTTCTTTTTTTCTGAATATTTATATAATTATATGAGCATTGAACCCAAATGATGATGGTAAAAACTATGCAGAAAAGCTTAAATCAAACCTCCAGACTACTCGTCCACACGGAGGAAGAGTTGAGAAAATGTCGATATGCTCTGAAGGAGAGGGATTTTGTTATTTCTGAACAAAAAAAAGCAGGTATTCTTGAATATTCCTCCGTTTTTTAACCTCTGTATTCTTTTCCATGTTTTGTAGTTGTTTTTATCTAACCACAGTCGTTGATTGCTTGTATCAGAAAATGCACTGGCTCATCAGGCATTCGTTTTACGATCCGACCTGGAGAAGGCACATCGGGATAATGCTTCATTGTTTATGAAAATCAGTTAGTAGTGCAGATATAAATAATCAGCTATTAGTTATGTCTCGTTTGTTTACTGAGCTGTTTGCTTTCTGGATATTTTTTTATACAGGTAGAGAGGACAAACTGAGCGCTGATAATAGAGCTGTGGTGAACAATTACCAATTAGAACTTGCACAGCAAATTAGTTCTCTTAGCAACTTCGTTGAGAAATCCTTGTCTAGTCAGAAAGGACACATTCAGTGTGTTCAGAAACTCTGCCACACCTTTTTACATGCACATGAAAAGGTGATGTATGAATATTATCAACATTTTCTGATTCTAATGAGGTTCAATGATTTTTGTTAACTTGTGTGTTAATTCTTATTTTCTCAGGCTTTTGTGGACTTGAAGAAGAAAGTTAAATCTTCAAGGGCTTTATATCTTTCTCACATAGAGGCTGTGCAAAATGTTGTTCGTTTACATAAGGCCAGCTCAGTTGCCGGTTTAGAGGAAATTTCGTCTTTGGCTTCTTCTAATGCACAATCTATTGAAGAAGTAGGTGCAGCAATTTATGCTTTTCGTTTAACACTTCTTAGATTTTCTGATGACACTTGTACCTGTTGTGTATTCTAACTGCCTATTTTTCGTTGTCCTCTTTTATCGTTTATTCCCTCAGATTTTCCAATTAAGTTGTTTTGATTTGTTTGTGAATCAGTTTCTAGCATCAGAGGCCGGGAAAGCATCTTCAATATTTGAGGGTCTTCAGAGTTCTCTTTCTACGCAGCATGGTGAAATGGCACTTTTTGCAAGGGAGCTGAGACAGGTTTATTCTCTAACACTAGAAGTTTTCTTTTGCCACCATTTGATTTTAAGTGTCTGCCTTTTCCATTTAATTCAAGTTTTACCGTGTCTTTCAAATTAACATGTAAATCATTTGTTTCATGTTACTTAATTAGTACTTGGCTTGTGCTAAACTTTTGCTTGCGGTTTTTTTTTTTTTTTTTTTTTTTGTGATATTTATTTATTTATTATTTGATTGCCAATTGTTCATTATCCTTGTGGTATGTCAATATAACAGAGATTTAACGCCACTGCTGAGCAACTAAAGGACATATCTGAATATTCCCAAGGATTTCTGCAAGGGCTTTATGATGAAAGAAAAAAGCTTGAATCTCATGTGACGGAAGTTAATGAAACCAAAATGAAGACTATTGCCGATTTTCAGAAGGCTTTTGAGGTGAAAAACTATCTTATTTTACCATGTTGGGTATTACACTATTCACTTTTCATAAAATAGCTGACATAAAGTTTATCTGCAGGAGCAATCAAAATCAGACGCAGAGAAGCTCATTGCCGATATTTCTAGTTTGGTTAGCAATCACATTTGTCGTCAAAAGGAAATGGTATGTTTGTAATATTTTCCCCAACAAGCTTTTGGTTTTCATTGCTCTTTTCTGAATTAATTACTATTTATTAATACTAATACTGATATTTGTTTGCTGGTAGGTCGATTCCAGGCTTGTTGGTTTTAGAGAAAGTGCAATTGCAGACAAGGAATTCTTGGATGGTCATGTTTCCTCAATGGAGGGTATTACAAACGATGCAAAAAGAAAATGGCAATCATTTTCAACGCAAGCTGAAAATGATGCCAAAGACGGTGCTGACTACTCTGCCACAAAGCATTGCCGTATGGAAGTACTTCTACAGCAGTGGTAAGTAATTTACTATGTATTACTTTTTTGTGTTTTGAGTTCTGATACATGTCTTCTTATATGCTCTTCTCCTTCATTTACTCTAGTGTAAGTACAGCTGATTCTGCTTTCAAGCACTGGAAAATGACACAGGAGTCGGTAAATGAGATGGGCACAAAACATGTTTCTGCTATTACAGCGCTTATCAGGTGGCTGTCAATTTGCTTCATTATCCCTTTCCCTTGCTTGTAGCTAGTTTTGTTTACAATTTAACTTTTTAGTCTTTTTGCAAGTCATAATTTGATATAGTTAATCATTTGAATTTCTTTGTTTGGTGCAGTAATGCTTCTGATGCTAATGAGCAACATGACGCCGAGATCAATTCTGCAAGAGTTGCAGCTGAGCAAGATGTCGCAAAGGACAATGAGGATGTGCTTCAGCATGTCGATGGTAAGTGATATATTATGCCCCTGGTTTAGTTTCTGCTTAGTTTCTTTCGAACCTCTTTATGATTTCTACCTGTTTGGATCTGCTATATATCCTTATAGTGAGTATGGTCATGTCCATTAGGGCTTACCCACTGTTTGGTTTAATCAAAATCAAGTTTGCAAGTGCTTATTCAGTTTTCGACATCTTAAACTTATAATGAGGATTTTAAATTTTGTTGAAAGAGTTGATACTCCATCAGTCTATCTATAGGCCAAATCTATACTTGTCCTAATTTTATGCTTGACCTGAGGCATTGAATTTCATAATGCTACTTTCTGCAAGTGATTGAAGAAATAGCTATATGAAGTGATACACGATAGCCTGAGGCTAATCATTTATGTACGGCTAAATATATATAATGATGTCTTCGAGTGCTATAACTTAAGCATTAAGGTTTTATGCCTTTCACGAACAATAAATTTTGCCCTACGGCCCATGGATACGGAGTATATTATTGAGGGAAGATGTAATACTTGGTTTGGAACTTGCTACAGGAGTATCTGAACAGGAACGGGGATCGATATCTGAAGTCATGGAAACCGTCAGAGCTCATTCGAGTACGCTAGAGACTGTTCGGGAGGAACACTCCGGCCATGCTACTTGCATTGAGGAGAAGGCACGGGAAACCTTCCTGGACAATTATATGGTTAGTGTGGCTCGCATGCATAAGTATGAGAACCTGGTTCCACAACTTAGAAACAAAGTTAAGCTTGATGAGAGTATTCTTGTTTAGTACTTATAGTTGGCCGATTATTTTTGCATATATATGGAATTAAAGAACGTAGTTGGGAGTAGACAGATGTTTTTACGCTGAAATTTGAAAGGGCACATGTCAATCATATATAATTGTAGTCGTCATAATTAAGGGCACGTTTAGTTCAGCATATTAGCACAAGTATTGCGTTGTTGTATAAGAAATCATAACTTGTTCCGTTGATACAGGATATTTTTCCATTGCAAACTATCTTTGCACGGTCTGACATTTTTTTTTTTCTTGTTTTAATTGCAATGGTGCAGGATTATGAACCTAGTGGCAATACACCTGTAAGGTGTGAGCAGGATATTCCGAGCAAAGGGACGATTGAGTCGCTTCGAGCGATGCCAATGGAGGCTCTTCTTGAGGAATTCCGAGAAAACCATTCGTACGAGTCATTTGATGGCAAAGACTTGAAACCGTCGCTCATACCACGCTCACCCCTCACACAAATCAACTGATACTATTATTCTTTTTCCCCCGGTTTTAGCTCATTTTGTTGTATGGAATTGAGAACGGTATTTGTATAATTAGTGTATACCGTGATTATTTTCCTTATAAAATTGTTAGATGATTTAGTAGATGGTTGAGGGTGAATCCTTGCTCATTTCTAGTTGAGGGGTGTCAATAAATCCCATCTTGGGATTTGGCAATCTGTAGCTCTAAAGGGAATGTATATTGAGGCAGGATACTACTGTGGTTTAATTTTTATTCCCTGAAACACTCTTCTGTTCTTCCATTTCCTTTAAATGTCAGGCGAGTTACCCAATTTTTTCCTTTTAATGAGCATTTTGGTATAACTCCCGCCAAAACTCGCACTATACAGCAACTTAAGCACATCCTTGTTCACTTGAATCTAGTTGAATTTATGTTCTGTTTAGTTTGTGGATTTGAATTGAGATGTGATTTTATGTGAGTGTTTTTTACTGTAGCAAAAAAGTTAGATGTGATTGTTTCTGTGAGTTTTTTACTGTAGCAAAATTCGAATTTTAAACTCGAATCGGTAAAATGAACGGGAATTCTCTGGTTTTTTTTGCAACCTGTTCCATAATTGAGGATTTAGTTAAGTTGTTAATCGGCTTATTCTTACCTTTTACGTGTTTATTATCATTTTTCTTTGAAAAGAGGATTTTATTCAATTAAATAAAAGAAAAAAACACCCATGCGAATAATCCTATAGTACATGAGACAAAACCCTCAATTGGGACTAGATCCGTTAGTAAAATCTAATGAAACTTGAGGAGGATGTGCATCGAGACTCGACAACAGGAGAGAGTTCTTCGGCACACCAATAATCGAGCATGCAACCTCTACAATCATAAAGAGTCCTCTAATCAATTGAGAGCAAGTAACATGTAGCACTCAAGCTACTACAAACTCCTCAGACTTAAGTCTAACAGAATCAAAATACTGCTACTCTGCTAGGACAGATCTGGTAGACCACAACGTAGCTCGTTTGGTTCATGGATTAGAACTATGAGATTATAACTATTTTTGATTTATATGTGTTTTTTATGAGAGAAAATACTATAGCGAACCATGAACTATTATTCAAATCAGAGAATGAATCCTCCAACTAAACGGGCTTTCCGGGTCTGTGAGGGAACTTACAGGCATCGTGCTTATAGGACCCTAAGAGCCGCAGGGTGAACTAGAGATGAATAAAATTAAATGACGTGTTTGTATGATACTGGTCTATGATGATTTATGATTATTAAAGAGAGAAATGACATGTCATGTGTGTTATAAGAATAATATGCAGGTATCATTTATATATAACTATGATATTGATAACATGAATATTAAAGATGCATTTCCCTGAAACACTCTTCTGTTCTTCCATTTCCTTTAAATGGTAGGCGAGGAGTTACCCAATTTTTTCCTTTTAATGAGCATTTTGGTATAACTCCCGCCAAAACTCGCACTATACAGCAACTTAAGCACATCCTTGTTCACTTGAATCTAGTTGAATTTATGTTCTGTTTAGTTTGTGGATTTGAATTGAGATGTGATTTTATGTGAGTGTTTTTTACTGTAGCAAAAAAGTTAGATGTGATTGTTTCTGTGAGTTTTTTACTGTAGCAAAATTCGAATTTTAAACTCGAATCGGTAAAATGAACGGGAATTCTCTGGTTTTTTTTGCAACCTGTTCCATAATTGAGGATTTAGTTAAGTTGTTAATCGGCTTATTCTTACCTTTTACGTGTTTATTATCATTTTTCTTTGAAAAGAGGATTTTATTCAATTAAATAAAAGAAAAAAACACCCATGCGAATAATCCTATAGTACATGAGACAAAACCCTCAATTGGGACTAGATCCGTTAGTAAAATCTAATGAAACTTGAGGAGGATGTGCATCGAGACTCGACAACAGGAGAGAGTTCTTCGGCACACCAATAATCGAGCATGCAACCTCTACAATCATAAAGAGTCCTCTAATCAATTGAGAGCAAGTAACATGTAGCACTGAAGCTACTACAAACTCCTCATAGACTTAAGTCTTAACAGAATCAAAATACTGCTACTCTGCTAGGACAGATCTGGTAGACCGCAACAACATTCATCAAATTAAATGACGTGTTTGTATGATACTGGTCTATGATGATTTACGATTATTAAAGAGAGAAATGACATGTCATGTGTGTTATAAGAATAATATGCAGATATCATTTATATATAACTATGATATTGATAACATGAATATTAAAGATGCATCAAAAGTATACCGATGAGATATTATACTTTATGATAATTGAGATAAATACATTTAGAAGATATATCAAGAATACATAAGATTAAAGAGTTCACATATAGACTTACGTGAAGTAAATATTTCATCAAATAGACATAATAGAGATAGCAGGTTAGACTATTATTTAATAGCCTTGGATGCTGCAAAAGAAGAGATAAATGATAAAGAAGAATATTGTATAAAGGTTAGATATGCAATAGTCCATTTGCTAATAAATAAGGAAACGAATTACATATAAAGCATAGATATATAATACATATATATATTTATAAATTAATATTTTATTAATTAGTTCGAATATTTCAGTTAATTAATTTTAGAAGTTCTTTTTGGTCCAGTAAAATGTTCTCAGTCCTATTGTCATCTCACTCATAATAAAATTCGGTCTCCTTGTTGTCTAGGTATTTGTCAGTCCAGTCCAGTCATATTCGTTCAACGTATGTAATAGGGTCCAGAATAGTCCATCAAATGGCTCACGAACAGGGATATGGTCCGGTCCCAAAATAGGATGTAAACAAGACTCGTTTCATTTCATCGATTCGAGTTTTCAATTTTAAGTATCTACAGTTAAAAACTCTTAAAAAATGTCATATCTAAATTTTCTACTATAGTGAAAAGCTCTCAAAAAATGTCACATCTCAGCTCGAATTAAAAACTCAAATCCGCAAAGTGAACGAGGCCTAAGAGTGGCAATTCGTATTAGTAAGATGTGTTTGTGTTAATTCATTTATTAATTGTGTTAGAAAATATAAACTTAAACACGATATATTTATTAAACGTGTTAAAAATGTCAACGTAAACACGACCCTTTTATTAACCGTGTTAATCGTGTCAACCTGTATAACACGTTTAAATTAATATATTGAATAAATAACTAATATAATAATGACTTATTTAACACGGTCAATACATGTTTAACATGTTTATTAGTCAATTTATTTTTTTCTTTAAGAAAAATAAATAAAATTTACAAAACAAATATTAAAATTCACATTATTTGTATTTAATATGTCATAAAATTTTATGTTATATCACATATCATTAGATTGCCAGTCCTAATGTAAACCGACCATTAAACACATCCTTCTGGAGTTCTATATTTTTGTTGTGATAGATTACCCATTTGATAATAATCTATCAAATTATAGATAATAATTTTTCAAATTTTAGACAATAATCTATTAAATTACGTCCGCCACTGGCGATCGAAGACTCGCCGCCGCCAACGACATCTGTCAAATTATCGATAATAATTTGTCAAATTACTTACTCTAAAAGGACAAAATTCAATAGGCGAATGTTGAGACCTAAAAATTCTTAATAGTACCATTTTAAGAGTTATTTGTCAAAATTACCCGAAATAAGAAATAGATATCTTAAATAAATTCTTGAACTCAAAATACTATTATGAAGCCCCCTATAAGCTTCCCACATGAAACTTGCACGTATAAATTATTAAAATATAAAACTATTTACCTCCTAATAACTTAAATTTTTAGAATGGATTAGTAAATTAACATTAATATTTAAAGATTGAGTATTCCTTTAGCAACCATTCATTCTTTATTGGAAAACTTATATGAATCAATAATATAAAATAATAAGGCCAATCAAGCAAGTTCATTTTCAAAATAGCCACGTGGCTCTGCACAGCTCTTTGAACTAACACACAATATACTTGTATTTATGAAACGTGCCTTAGTATGTGAGTTTGCTAACAAAGATTCGAAGTAATTATAGATTGTGATAATTATAACGTCAATCAAGCATATATATATATATAGACACACATATATATTAATAATAATAATAATAATAATAATAATAATAATGATAGGTAACAAAAACTAAATTAGTACTGATACAATCAATATCTGAGTTGGCTGCCACAATCAGTTAAACGAGCAAGAATAATGTTTAAAAGGGAGATTGGAAAGAGTGTCAACTCCCACAGTCTAGGGATTTAAGCCAACTGACCGAAGATGGATTGCCCATCTCATTAACTATGTAATTCGGTCAGTTGGATTGCCCATCTTATTAACTATGTAATTCTATATGATGTTGATTATGCTTATGTTGATGAATTCATTTCATATGGGATTTTTAGAAATTTTACTCCTTTGGTGTTTTATGAGAAGCGATATTATGGCCTAATGTATAGGGAGTTCTGCTCTCTGAATTCTGTTGCTCAGATGAAGTTTGAGGGCAATTTATCATTTAATTAATAAGGTTTGCTTTGAGTATTTTAGCATTATCAATAAGGTTTTCTTTGAATATTTTAGCATTATTAATTAGGCAAACACAATGGATGTGCCTGACCAAAGCTCAAACTTTGCCACGTACAAAGCTTCGTTTTATATCTTATTTGTTAATCTTTCTTTCCTTAAACATTTGATTCTGGATGAAAGCAACATTCAATCTTCGTATGTGTATATGTTATCCCAAAGTTGATTGAATTTGTTTAGCATTACGTGGCTCGCAGGCTTCAGAAGGCATGTACATTTAACAAATATAATCTTACGTACAAATATCAATTAATATAATTTTAAGCAAAAAATATTTCATGATCTATTTTGTCTTTTGGGCCACTTAAATATAATCTTAAATTGCACTAACATGAGTCTTTTTGTAGGCCGCGTCACACTCAATCGCTCCAAATCACTCCCCAAACATCATTCCCGCAAGTTTATTATCCACCATCTCCATTCCAATTCATATATATTATATACATACATACATATATATATATATATATATATATTTATACACACACACACACACACACACTCTTGTAGAAAACCTACAACGTGGAAAACCATCGCTATTGGTGAAATGCCTACTAGAGATCTTATCATGTGGACTATTATGATTCGTGCGTATTCCGAGGGCGGTAACGCTTATGAGTCGTTGGGTCTGTTTGATTTAATGATGGAAAATGGTGTACCTCTTGATAAGTTCGCTGTGGTTACGGTCGTTTCTGCCTGTGCAAAGTTGGGGGCCATGAATAAGGCCAGGCTTGTGCGTGATTATGTACGCGGGAAAAAGTTTCCATTGGATGTGGTTTTGGGGACGGCCATGATTGATATGTATTCAAAGTGCGGGTGTATTGATTATGCAAGGGATGTGTTTGTTGAAATGAGAGAAAAGAATGTTGTTTCTTGGAGTACCATGATTGCAGCTTGTGGTTACCATGGGCGTGGTAGGGAAGCAATTGATGAATTTTATATGATGTTGAGGAGTAGGACATTGCCAAATGCAATAACCTTTGTTTCGTTGTTGTTTGCTTGTAGTCATGCGGGTTTGATTGAAGAAGGTCTTCGGTTTTTCTCATCGATGTGGGAGGAGTAATCCGTGGGGCCAGATGTTAGGCACTATACTTGTATGGTGGATCTCTTGGGGCGCGCTGGGAGAGTTGATGATCAGGCCTTTGGATTAGTTGAGAGCATGAGTGTAGAGAGAGATGAGGGACTTTGGTGCGCTTTGCTAGGGGCTTGTAGAATCCATGGGCATGTAGTGATGGCAGAAAAGGCGGCAAATTCACTTCTGCAGCTGCAGCCCCACAACCCGGGGCATTCCGTGTTGCTTTCGAACATTTATGCCAAAGCAGGTAGATGGGAAGATGTGGCGAAGATTAGGAATCTTTTGATGCAGAGCACGCTAAAGAAAGTTCCTGGTTGGACATGTATTGAGGTGGATAACAAGATTCATCAGTTTAGTTCTGGAGACGGGACTCATCCCCGGTCAAAGGAGATTTACGGCATGCTCAAGAACCTGAATGCGAGGCTGGTGCAGGCAGGTTATGTCCCCGACGTGAGTTTCTTCGGCAAGATGTTAATGAAGAAGTTAAGGTGAGAAGATTGTCTGCACATAGTGAGAAATTGGCTTTTGTATTTGCACTTGTTGCCACCCCTGATGAAACTCCTATCAGGCTTACAAAGAACCTTAGAGTTTGTGGCGATTGTCACACGTTTATTAAGTTTATATCAGCCATTACACAAAGGGTGATTGTTGTCCGAGGTGCAAATCGGTTTCACCATTTCAAGGAAGGATTTTGTTCATGTGGGGATTATTGGTAAGTGATGGCAGGGTTATAATTTATACTCTGGAGGTGTGATATAGGAGAATTTAGCCATAATAGTAGTTGTTATATTTTTCTATATTGTTTGTACTAACTTATTAATTAATAAATGCTTTTTATAATTTTTCTTAGTGGTTATTTAGTTGTCGTTTGACGTGTGAGTTATAAATAGCCACATTAGTTATTGTAGTAAAACTTCATTATTGAGCATTTGAATTAGAGTTGAGTTTTCTCCTTAGTTCTGAGAGTTTTTTCCTTTGTGGGTTTTCTTTTGGTGGATTTGGATCTTTTTAAGTCCTACCTTCTGTACGGGGTGAAATTCTATCATTCACTATTCCGCTCTAGCTTTTCTTAATTGTAATACTTTTTCGTGAGAGCAAATCAAGTCGAAAGTGATTTGAGTACAATCTGCTGAAAGTAGTAGTTATTAAAAAAATGCTGAAATCTTCATTTTAGTGATTTGAAGTTTTCTTCTTATAGCCAAGTCATCAACGAGCAGTTTAATTATAACTCCAGCCAAAACTTGCACTATGCAGCAACTTAAAACACTTCCGTGTAAAATTTAATTGATTTCAAGCTCTTTGGTAATTTTGTTGTAACTTGTTCCATAATTGAGGACGTTGTTCAATTGTTATTCAGTTTATTGCTACCATAAAAAAGGCTTGTTGCTACCTTCACGTGTTTCAAAATTTAAAAGTGATAGGGTGTGTTCTTTCACAACTTAAACTTTTTTATGTGAGAGAAAATATTGTAGTAAAAAAATTAAATTCAAGTTTTTATAAGAAAAAATACTGCAGTAAAAAATTTTGAGTTATAATTTGAGTTGTGAAAATAACAAAACCGTATTCTTTGAACTTAGGGCTGGAAAAATCAAACTTAGAACTTAATAATAATTAACAGCTGAGTTAGTCTCCAACCACACTTAAAAAGTGATATTTTTCCTTTCCATAGATTTCCTATCAAATGCAAACGACGATATCCATAAAAAAGCGGGCAAACGACAACATCCCCTGATCTTATAAGAATTTTGAGAACATGCTTTCCTAAATTTTAAATTTTAGTAATTTGCGCCTTCAACTTTTAAAGCAATTACAATGTACATCATTTTATCCATTTTGTTCTTTTTTGTGTGTCAAATTTTAGGGATTAAGAGTTAATTAAGAAATTTGTGTTAAACGATTGAATTGAATATTAGAATATTTTTTTGAATAATGTGTTTTTTTTTTTTTTATCACCAATTTAACGCAGTCATTTTTTAAAAAAGGGCACATTTAAACTATTTTGTAAGTCGGGAGAGGGAGAAAATTGTAAAAATTAGAAGTTCATTTGGCAAGTTACTAAAATCCTATAAACTAAAGGGAACAAATCTGCAAAATACCTTACTATAGTTTTCGAGACTGAAAGACGGAACTCAGCAAATAAATAGCATAACAAAAAGAATTTGGTTTAATAAATGAATAAAAAAAACCATATGGTTCACCGCCCGTACGGCCTTATGTAATTTAAAAATTCGTTACATGTTACCGTTACCGCCATTGCCATTGCCATTGCCATTGCTATGCTCAAACTCAAACTACCCAGGAAACAACCGCGCTTCCCTCTCTCCAGCCATGAGACGCTTCGCTTCTTCCGCTCGGCTTCCACCGCCGCTTCCATGGCGGATTCAGACGCCAGGGCTCCTTATAAACTTATCCCAGAGCCTCCATTTTCACGCCCATTAGAACCTCAACGCGTCATTTCCGCTCTGCTTCTCAGCAAAAGCGTACTCCAGGTAAAGGAAATTCACGCTAAAGTGTTCGTCAACGGGATGCTTCGAAAGTCGTTGCGAACAAGCTCCTTTACATATACTCTCTCAGCACAAAGCGCTCGGCGACGCTTACGCGTTGTTTCGTGGCGTGGAAAAGGAGAACCCAGTTACTTGGAGCGTAATTCTTGGTGCGTTTTCGAAGGTTGGAGATTTCGTTAATTTGTTTGGTATGTTCAGAATGGTGTAAGACCGGATAATTATACATTTGCCTTTTGTGATTCGGGCTTGCAGGGACATGGTGGATTTTGTGAATGGGAAAAATTATTCACGGCATTGTTATGAAATATGGGTTGGAGTTGAATGGCTTTGTTGGTGTGGCGCTTGTTGATATAGGGTGCACGTAAACTGTTTGATGAAATGTCGAGCAGAGACCTTGTTACGTGGACGGTTATGGTTCGTGCGTATTCCGAGTGCGGTAACGCTTATGAGTCATAGGTTCTGTTTGATTTGATGATGGAGGAGGGTGTAATTCTTGATAAGTTCGCTATGGTTACGGTCGTTTCTGCTTGTGCGAAGTTGGGGGCTATGAATAAGGCAAGACTTGTGCATGATTATGTATGCGGGAACAAGTTTTCATTGGATGTGGTTTTGGGGACGACCATGATAGATATGTATTCGAAGTGCGGGTCTATTGATGCCGCGAGGGATGTGTTCGTGGGAATGAGAGAAAAGAATGTTGTTTATGTTGGTTTTCGAAACATTTTCGGTTGCGGAAGTGTGTATGTGCAGATTATATATGACAAAAATTTTCATAAAATATTTAAATATTTTATAGAATATATTAATTTATGCAATAATAAATTAATCATTTAAATTTATAAAGATTGATATCTAGCGAACGATTAGGCGGATGTAACATGAGGTTTTTGACCACAAACAATCTAAGCTCCAAGTTTTCTCAGAAAACCCGAATCTTTCTCGTCTAGTCCTTGAAATCTGCAAGACGTAGGGTGTGAGCTCTAATATGGTACTATGGAATTATGATCACTTGCTAATTTGTATTCCTCCACTATCAGCGCATATGTGTGAAGGAACTGATAGTTGAAAGAACTTCTCTTTTCTCTCAGGGAAATTCGGCCACCTATAGGAAAGGAAAGGAAAAAATTGTGTTCTCTAATTTTATCTTATCTCCTATTTATAGAACATTAGGAGGATCCCTTTGCTTTAACTTGAAGACAAAAAAATAGAAAATTGGCTATTTTTAAATCACATTCAAAATATAGTTTCCCATTTAATTTTGAAAACAAAATTCTCCCTTCCCTTTTACTATATGGTTGGCGCAAATGGCAGGCAAGAGAGAGAAAAAATTCCTCCTTAATCTAGTTTCTAATTTTAGCTTAAATTCAAATCTAAATAAAGTCAAACTTTACTTTCCTTTATGAATTTGATTGTAAAACTTGTCAAACAAGTATACCGGATACCTTTGAAAACAAGCAACTGAATCCCAGTGAGATTCACCTTGTGCTACATGCCCTTGTACCTCCCTATACCTGGGTGTGTGGCCTCCTGTGGTCCCACCACAGTATGTTTCTAAATTAAGTTAATTAAATAATCTCATTATTTATTTTGAATGATATTAATCCCAATAACTCACATTGTCTTGCAAATATTACAAGGCTGACGTTGTGACTCCTGGACCTATAATTCATATATATAATAAATTAATAATTAATTAAACTCTTTAATTAATTAATTAATTCTATTAATTTCAAAAGTTACTCCACTTAAAACTTGGAATTGCACTTTTGAAATTATAGACATAATTTACTTCTAAGAACTTGAAGTGTCCATTTGATATAGTCACTACATATAAATCAATCATCCATAAATACTTCATTATTAGAGCTAGGTAAAATCCGTTAACCTCTCTAATTACATCTTTATCCTTGAGTATTATTGATTCTTTAATAAATAGTATATTCATAAAACACATTCATGAATACGAGCTCGTTACTTTTTCAAGTACCGAATCAATCCTTAAGAGAATTATTTATCTACTTCTTCAAAGAAGAAGGAATGTATTCCATCTCATATATTAGCATTCCCGGCTATTTATTTCATCATGTTTCCAAGATACAAGTAATATGATTTAGGATCTCGAATTCCGTACCGAGTAAGTAAAAAAACACGAATCCATAAATATGAGTCTATTAATAACTCGGGATTAAGATCTTTCCATATATTACCAAAGGTAGACTCAAATTTGATTTTTAATACTTAACATAAATTATCAGAAAATCAAATTGTGTTTGTGTCCTAGTTTTATATAATCTTATTTTGCATAATACACTCATTCAATATCCCTCTATATTAATAATGCGGCTTACACCATTTCATTCTTAATGAGATTGATGTGTACTAGTAATGTTTTAATCAAAGATTCCATAACTTTAATTAAATTCATTACGAACATTTTTTTGAGTATTATCCTTAAATATTATGCTCTCTATATAACACTTATATATAATATTTAAGGTCACATAAATAATCTCATAATTTTCAATGATATTCATAAAGTATTCACTAATACATGTACATAAATAATGAATAAACTATTTTGTTAATTAAATAGTAAACATCCCTATTACGTCTCATGCTTTAAGAACACTATTCCTAACAATCTCTCACGTGTCCTAAAGTAGGTGTGACATGTCCCTAATCTCAAATCCTTCTAGATGTTTGTCAAAGACGTTTAATGGCAATGTCTTCGTGAATGGGTCCGCAAGGTTGTTCTTCGATGTGATCTTCAGAACCACTACATCGTCTATCTCGACTATATCTCTAATCAAGTGATATTTTCTCTCTATATGCTTCACACTCTTATGACTTCTCGGTTCTTTTAAATTAGCCACTGCTCCACTGTTATCACAATACAATTTAATTGGATGATCCATACCTGAAACGACTTCCAGATCAATCAAGAATTTACGGAGCCTTGTTGTTTCCTTTGTGGCTTCACAAGCTGCAACATATTCAGCTTCCATGGTAGAGTCAGCAACACACTTTTACTTAACACTCCTCCACACCACGGCTCCTTCGTTAAGAGTGAATACAGATCCGGATGTCGACCGTCGACTATCTCTATCTGACTAGAAGTCAAAATCTGTGTATCCAGTGTATCTTCTCTAGAATATACAAGCATATAGTTTCTTGTTCTCCTAAGATACTTGAGAATACATTTCACTGCAACCTAATGATCTAATTGTGGGTTGAACTGGTAGAGACTAACTACTCTCACTGCATAGCAAATATCTAGCCTAGTACACATTATGGCATACATGAGGATCCCAACTGCATATGCATATGGGTATTTTCTCACATTCTCTTCCTCTTGTGGAGTTTTAGGACACCGCTCCTTGGAAAGATGAATACCATGCTTAGAAGGAAAATTCCTTTTGTTGGAATTTTACAGAATATGACAAGCACCTTGTCAATGTACGATGCATGAGACAACACCAACAGCCTTTTCTTATGATTTCGAATAATCTTGATCCCAAGAACATAACTTGCCTCTCCCAAATCTTTCATTGAGAGTTGGTTGGCTAACCATTTCTTTTCATTACTCATGGATTCTACATCATTCTTAATGAGTAGAATGTCATCCACGTAAAGAATTAGGAAAACCACTTTCTTATCCTTTATATACTTGTGATCACTGTTAGCGTTTATGCCCTTAGGAATAAATGTAACAATGTTCTTTGAGACATTTTGACAATTAATAAAGATTTATTTATTTCATATATCTATGTATTGCTCCCTTTATGTTCATATTAGTTGAATGTATGATAAGCAAACTGAAAGTCTGAGACTGTCATTCTAAATCTTTAGGTCATGCATGTAATGTGAAGAGCATGCGGAAGACAAGAATCTAAAGATGATAGTCTAAATCATATGATCCACAATCGAGGGAATAAAGTTGGGCGCTTTATTCATATTAAGATTGTTATGTTGTCTACTTCCTAACGGAGACGACTTGTCTTGGTCGTCGGAGGTGGGACTCTATGGGTAGAGACATTGATATAGTTTCTAATGGTGAAATCTATATTGGGTCGGACCAAAGTTGAATTGTTTTAATTAATAATTCTGTTTGAATAAAACAATTCACTTTTGATGAATTATATGTTGTCATCTTAATCCTGAGATGGATGATGAACCTGTATGCTTGACTTGTATCCTTTAATGTACTAAAGGGAGACATCTTGACATTATGTAAGGTATGCTTACCGGTATATTGGGGGTATGATTCGTGTATGCGTAGATTCGTTATTCATAGATAGTGGAATCTATAGCTCCTATAAAGAGTCAATGATATCCTCTTATGCATTATCAGTGGATTAGAAAATACGAGCGCTCGACCATTAGACTACTCTGTGTTATCTAATGGTTTACTATTTGTAATGGTACGGATAGTGGTTTTCTGATGGTTTGATAATGGAACATAAGATAAATGTAGTTGGGAAGGTAAAACGGAACTTGATCTCAAGTCGATTATGGATATCCTATGGGGATGATACACTAATATATTGAGTCATGGGCTAGAGCTAATCAGAGCTTTGTAAATACGCTATATAAATTGATAGTGCAGCTCTAGGTTTTTAGTGGAATAGCGCTAGAGTTTTATAATCATGAGACGGACTTGTTGGTTTACAAGTAGCGTTGTGATTATAGGAGCTTGATTAATATATGTCCATCGGGTCCCTTTGCTAGCTCACATAATTTCCTGTAACGATATAGCGTATTTCCTACATATTGGTAACTTGTGTTATTTCTGTAAAAGAGGTTCAAAGTTAATATGAGATTGATTAATTCATGAGTGATTCATCGGGTGAATTAATTGATAAATTAATTCTAGATAAGTTGGTTGAATTATTGTTTTAAGAGTTTTTAATATGGGAAGACTATTATATGACTATTTTGATCAGGCAACTTCTCTATTGGGTTGCTTAAATCAAAATTGAGGCTCTATGCAAGTTTCCCGTATTGAAAAACTAAGAAAACAAGTTTCGTCAGTGCAGACCGGTTGACCGATTAGTGAAGACAGGTCGACCGGTGAGTTATAACGTCTCTGTCACCGATCGATCGGTTGTAACGTAAAATGCATGCTGACGTGGCAAAATTGACTCTGAATGCGATTAGAACTTTAGGAAACCTAATTATTACGGAAGTATGACTTCCTAAACACTATAAATAGCCTATTAAGTCACTTTATTCATTAGATCACTTGAGATACTTTTTGGAGGCTATTGATAAAAGATTCCTGAGAGGAAAAATTATTTAATTCTCAAGAACAAATTTTCCTTTGGCTCTCTTGTGATTGGAAGGAGATTAAGAATACCAAGAGGAGATTGAACGACGTGTGCCCACCCACACTCCGATCATGGAAACGAGAATAGCAAAGAAGACCAGTTAGTTGAGGCTCTTCCGGTTGCTGTTTGGAATGCTTTGATCTGTCAGACGTGCAGTTTCCTAAATCTCAAAAGGTATGATTTAGCTCTTTAGTATTTATGTTATATAGCATCATGAACATGTTCTTGATTTGCTTTGACTTTGATTTAAATTTTTTAAAATTTCTCTGCACACTCGAAGCCATTATTTTCCAACAATCACATGGTTCGTCTTGG